TTCTTGGATGCCCCACAGCCACTGAACTTACAAAGGCACCAACAGCATAAATCGACTAACATGCAAAGTCATGAGACAGGGCTCAGATTCAGCCCTGCCTCCAAGTTTGGGGCAACTGCGTGCTTGTTCCCAGTAGTTGCAGAGGTGGAGCCCTGCCCATGGTGAGCTTGCTGGGGAGGCGGCTGTGGTGGGGCCCTGGCCCTCTCTCCACATGTGTGTAGTAACAGTGGGGCTGCTGTGGCGGACCTGGGCTCCATTTTGCACACTCCTCCCAGTTTTGGTCTGGGCCACACTCTAGCCCTTTTGGGCTGGCTCTGTGCAGCCAGCCTCACTCCTCACCAGGCGTCCACCGGAGCCTGACTTTCAGCACCCAGCCCCCACTCGTACCAGCAGATGAGTTCTTGCTGACGGACACCTCCTGTGGAGGAATACTCACTGGCTCCTCTACCAGCATACGTGCTCCCATCCCATCTACCCCGACCAGCAGCTCAGAAATAGATCAGGGAGCATCTACTCCAACAACTGGGAGCAGAAGGGTCTGTGATGCCAACCAAGGCTGTGATGCTAAAGAGGAGGTGCTGCTCAGCATCCAGGGCAGGCTCTGGTCACTGCCACACCAATCTCACCCCCAATCAAGGGGCTAATGGCCAGTGCACACTGCGGACAGTCGAGGCAGTGAGTGCAGGGTAGAGCACGGAGGTGGGTCAGAACCAGGTATGCTGGTATCTCTCCATTCTGCCTCCTGCAAGCTAGTTGCTGCACTCTCCTCTGAAGCTCCCTCCCTGTCCCTGCTGATCTCTCCCCATTATGAAGGAGGCTCCCAGAGTGGGGGAACCCCTCCACTTTCACAGCTCCCTCCCAGAGGCACAGATGCTATCCTTTTTTTTTTTTTTTTAACTTTTATCCTACCCAGTTACATGGTAATTTTTCTTGTGTTTTGGTTGTATGAAATCTTCTGCCAGCATTCAGTGGGTATTCTGTGAGAATTGTTCCACATGTAATTTTGATCTATTTGTGGGAAGTGGTGAGATCCACATCCATCTATGCCACCATCTTGATCTCCTCTCACCCATTTGAATATTACTAGGCTTCTCATCTGAAACCATGTGAAATGCTCTCATGAAAGACACCAGTGTTCTCCTAATGACCAGCTATGTGATCTGGGACTCTGTAGCATTTTCTGTTGACCCCTCTCCTTTTTGTAATACCATCTTCTGTTGATGTCCATGACATCACAGTATCCTGGTTTCCCATTTCTTGGCCCCTTTCAGTGCTCATTCACGACTCAGCTATATGTGGCTCTTTCCCAGGGCTCATGGTTTCTTTTCACATCTTCTCATCTCATTCAGATGTTCTCTCCCAAGTTACCTGACCACCATTCCACTAGATTTTATTTATTTAAGGCAAGTTTATTGAGGTGATACTTACACATAGTAATATCTACCTTTTGTGTTCTGTTCTGTGAATTTTGACATACAATCCTATTATCACCACCTCAGTCAAGATAAAGAATATTGTCATCACCCCCAAAAAGTTTCCTCAAGCTGAGCCTCTGTTGTCAGTTTCCTCCTTCACTTCCAGTCCTTGGCAACAAGAGATCTCTTTTCTGATCCTATAGTTTTGCCTTACCAGAAGGTAAATTTCATATTATTCTCAAAGAAAATGAAGATGACGACTTTCTAATTTATATCTTTAGTGCTAATTTGTCTTTGAGCTTCAGAGTCATCTATTCAGTGTTATTTGATTGTGTCAGGTTTAGAATCCTCTCTTTTCTTCATGCATCGAGGTCAAGTGATTCAAAAGCTACTTAACCTCTCTGAACCTTAGTTTCCCTCCATGAAAGAGGAGAGTATTTCCTTTGCTGATTTTTTGGGGAGACTAAGTAAGATAAATACCACTAGAAGCCCACCAGGCAGTGTATAACAATAGATGCTCAGCACATCATTAATATCATCGATAAACTTCCATTTCTTCAAGTGGACCTGTACTTTCTGAGGGTAGAGCATGGCGTTTCTGAGTCTTCAGCGCACTTGCTGGACAATTCAGGCTCCTCAGAGGCCACTCAGTGCTTTATGTCTCAACAATATACTGGGTGAGAGAATTCAAGATACTTCCCATGATGCACATATGAATTCTCAGAAGCAGTCTTTTGTAAAATCGAGTCTTTGCAACCAACCAGTTACTCATGTAATGTCTCAGAATTTCTAGTTTGCTTCAAGTTTTGGGGGCTGATTAGTATGTAAAATTAAGATTGTTTCATTTCAGATCCTTTTTACTTAAAGGCAAAAATAAAACACAATGTTATCTTGCAGCATATGCTCCTCTAGTATCATAAGACCTCCAGGTCATTTACAGGAACAAACATGTTTCAGCCTTGCTTCACATAGGACGGGTATAAGGAGAAGTGGCAGATCCATTCACTGTGTGTTTTTGTATTCTGCATCTTCACATTTTCATATGCCATTACCCAGGAGCAATTTATAATGCATCTGTGAAGTCATGTGATATTTTAGTAGATACTTCTTCTCAATTTCTGTTTAGATGAACTAAACAAAAGTACTTTAATAAAAGTAAATTGACAAGAATCACATTGTTCTCATTTCAAACACACATAAAGGAACTAAAATGTTGTGAAATATGCCAGGCAGTTTTACTAATCCTCTAACCTCCAGAGAAAGGGCTTATAATTAGAATTACATTAGAATTGTCACAGCCAGCAATTTTTTTTTTTTAATACTAGGACTTCAACTGATTTCACGCTACATGTGCTCACTAAAAATGCAGCTAGTGTAACGCAAAGAAATTAAAATTACAATTGAGGTGTCACACAGTAAGTGAAAAAGCTTTACTGATTTGTCTGGTCAGGGAGCTAATAACGACTTCATGCGGAATGCAGTGAAACAAAGGAGTCTTTCTCAAGAGCCAGAGTGTACTTGTGGCCGACACTATTTTGCTTAGGCCATATACGGCTGTACTTGATTATAGGAACATTAGTTAAGTGAGACCATAAAAAACAGCTGTATTAGAGATCAAATAGGACTCTGCACATTTTCTCCCTGTAGCAACCAATCAGAAATCTTGCTGACAGGCAAACTTGTACAATACGAATGATCCTATTTAGATTAATTCCTCTTAATGCCTTATACAGGCCTACTTTCCTGGCATATTGTGGAGACAGCAGGTCAGTTCCATTCAAAATGTGGAGATAGAAAAGGCAAGCTTGATTACATGATAAAATGTATGACTGTACTGGCAGAAAATGTGGAGTGCTCAGTCCTTGTAAAAATATGGCTGATGGGCTCTTCCCCAGCTCAGAGTTCAGCCACGAGGCACTCTGGAAAACGGAACGTCAGCCAGCTAGAGGTCTGCAGAGCTGAGCTTCAGCTGTGGCTGTCATGATGCTTCAGTTCTCTACTCTCTACCTAGTAACACGATATATCCACACGTTTTGCCATGAAACTCTGAAATGCCCTCTAATCCCTGGCTCTGGGCTTTGGGCCACAGGATGTTGACCAACATCAGACCTAAAATTCACTCATTTGGTTGGTCTCTCTGCCTCTGCCAGTGACCAGACAAGATCAAATCTGGGCTAGCCCACTAGGTCCAGTGGGCTGATGGGGACACGTGGAGCAGACATGTGAGCTGGCCCAAGCCGAGGTCAGCACACCTTGCAGAGCCGAGCCCAGCCTTGATCAGTCAATCTGCAGGCTCATAAGCAAAAGCAGAGCATCTCGCCACAGGGCACTGAGATTTTGCAGGTGTTGGTTATGCAGTATCACTGTGGCCACAGTTAACTGAAGCATCACTGTGTGACTGTGGGCAAGCCGTCTCCCTGCCTCTCCTCTACCCCCATCTACAAAGTGATGGGAGGGACTGGAGGATCCATAAAGCCCCTTCCAGTGAAGCTGAGGACCAAGAGACCCGCGATGAAAAGAGTGAGATTCCAGATGCTCAGGTTTCTTCCAGGCCCAAAGGAGGAGCTGAGGAAAACACTTCAGCAGGCACCGTGAGCAGGCAGAGCAGACTTTATCCCCAGCAGTGCAGCCATAAATGTCTGGCAGTGCGTCCACAGTTATGGACAAAGTCAGTGAGGAAAGAAGAGTCTGAAGCCAGGGCCCCAGAATGTCTTCACAGTCAGCTCACAAACAAAACTTGTTTTCTATAGGTTTAAACCTAGACAAATAAGCAAGTTAGAAGACAGGATTGGAGAAAATGAAATCTTTATTTTTAAACACTAGTACATTTTCAAGCTGTTTTAAAAAGGAAAAATCATATTACCTCAAAACTATGCATCGAGGCATATTTATTTTTAACTCTAATCTTACAAACACATAATGAAAGAAACATATTTTATAAATATCTACTCAGAATATGTATTATGAAAAAAAAAAGTGTTTAAAAATAACAGCCCCAGATCTCCCTCTTTAAATATATAAAATTCCAAGACAATTCATAAGGATTCTTTCTCAAGAGCCAAAAATTTCATAGAGGCCAACAACTCAGTTCTCATCAGACACAATCAAAAGTAAAAGGGATATAAAAAAATGTAAAAGTTCTATACAAGGGAAATACAGATAGCACACGGGTAAATCTCATTACCATACATGCCATTTGTGTTTTAAAAATGTTTTATAAAAACTGCCATTTGAAACAAATAAGTGAGAGTCCTTCCCTGACTGTGGAAAATATGTTATCACCCTCCCACCTGGGCCTGGAGGCCCCCACTTGCTCACAGAGAGGAGCGGTCTCTATTCATTCTTAGGCCTGAAAGCCATGTGTGGGGATCCACCTCCTCTGGCAGTGGCTTTTTTTGGTGAGTGATTTCCTTCACTTAGAAAAATTCTTTGGGATCAAAGGAGACAACTGCTAACAAGTGAAAGCAAGACTAGGAGACAGCTTCAGACTGTAGTATCCAATTAACAATGCATATTTTGTGGTTCTGGTGACCACACTCTGGGGAGCCTGATTTTCCACTGTCAGAGACACAGCCTGTCACCTACCCCAGGGAAACACACGGCACGGCCCCAGGCTGTCCTTCCTCGGTCCTCTTCTGCCCAAGTCATTCTGCGGCCTGCAGCGCAATGTAGGCACACTATTGCCTCTTCTGACACTTCTTCTGGAAAGAGCTCTTCAAGAATGTGCGGTAGACCGGGTCATCCACATATTCATTCTTGAATCTGGAGCTCAGCACTCTCTGCCTCTTTTTCTCCCCTTGGATTATATCTGTTCCATAAAATGTGTCTTCAAATCGCATGTCAGAAGCTGTGGACTAAGAACAGCCAGTGTTATCTGCAGAAGAGCAGCCACGTGACGTCACAGGAACAGACCAAGGCCTGGCCCAGTCAGGAGTGGGGAGGGGGCCGCACCCAGGGGCCACGGAGAGCCTCCCCATCCCCACTACTTCCATTTAGCCTCATTTTCTTCAGGATCTCCAGCCCTCGGGGACTCTCCTCAACACAAGCAGAACTAAAGTCTTCTCATTTAAATCTCCCTGAATATTCATGCCCCTGCCCGACATGTGACTGACTTGTCCACAGTCGCTCTAATTCACCCCTATTCCTATTTACCTCTGGGTCTCTGTTCCCACCACTTACCTGCAACTGTCCTGGTTCCTAGGACACTCCTCTACCCTAAATGTATGATTACTCTGGCACCTCACTCTTGCATGAAGCTCTCTGTCATTTTGCAAGCCCTCTTCCTCGTCCTCTGGCTGCTCACTGTTCATGTGTCAGGGGCTCCCTTTAACTATTAGCTCAACTATGATAGCCCTGAGGCTTTGCATGTGGACTTTTCCTCTCTACATATGCTCCCCAGGCCTACCTAGACACACTCACAACTTCAGTTTTGACATCAATTCTAAAGACGCTCAGATGTCTTACTCCAGTTCATACCTCCCTCTGTGCTCAAGCCTGCATGTCCAACTACCCAGCAGGCATCTCAGAATGTTTATCCTGGAGGCACTTAGACTCTTCCTATCCTAGAGTGAACAAGTCTTCTTTCTCCATTGCTGTCCTTCCTAAATTCCATAAATGGCAGCATTACCCCCATCAAATCTAACTATGTGATCAGAAACCTAAAGGTCTTTTTAAAATTCCCCTTGTCCCCATCCTGTCCAGGACCCCCTCCTACATGGACCTTGAAGTCCTCCATCCTTTCTTTAACCTTACTGACCCCATGGTGCAGGCCCTCACGCTTCCTCTGCTAAACCACTGTAACAGTGCTGCACCCTAGTCCATTTCTCACAGAACTACTAAAAGAAATGTCTCTAAAATCTCTGATTACATGACACCCCTGCTTAATGGTTTTTCAATAGCCTCACTGCCTTTAAGATGATGTCTGTACTTTCTAGGCTGGATGTACATAACCAGATATACTCCTATCCCACGCTTGGATTAGGCTGACTTATTTGCAATTCCTGGTCACACTTAATTGTCTCCAGCTTGTCTTTAAATGTACTGTTTTCTTTGCACAGAAGATATCCTATCTTCTCGGTGACTGACAAAAATGAGGTTCATTCTTTTGGATTCCTGGGACACATTACGTGTCAATGTAGTAGAATGAAGGCATGGGTCGAGATCAAGGGTAGGTGTTGCCCCATCAGGGGTTCCTTGGACCCCTTGAAGGTGAGAATATTAGGGACTATAAACTGAATTTTACATGTGCTCCCAACACCAAGCAATGTACTTTGCCACAGTCACTGCTCAGTAAGTGTTAGCTAGGCAAAGGAAGGTGGGCTTTTTCTGTTATGCTCCAGTATAAGTTTACTTAAAAAAAAATTTTTAACCTTTATTTTCTATTGGAATGTAGTTGATTTACAACACTGTGTTGGTTTCAGGTGTCCAGCTAAGTGATTCAGTTATACATATACCCATTCTTTTTCCATATAGGTCATTACAGAATATTGAGTAGAATTCCCTGTGCTATACAGTAGGTCCTAGTTGATCATCTGTTTTGTATGTAGGTGCATATATGTTAATTCCAAACTCCTAATTTATCCTTTCTCCCCCTATTTCTCCTTTGGTAATCATACTTTTGCTTTTGAAGTCTGTCTGTTCCTGTTTTGTAAATAAGTTGATCTGAATTATCTTATAAGTGATATCATATGATATTTGTCTTCTTACTATTATAATTTCTAGGCCCATCCATGTTGCTACAAATGGAATTATTTCATTGTTTCTATGAGAAACATTCCAGTATGTGTGTGTGTCTCTGTGTGTGTGTATACACCACATCTTTATTCATTCCTCTGTTGATGGACATTTAGGTTGCTTCGATAACTTGGCTGTTGTAAACAGTGCTGCAGTGAACATGGGTGCATGTATCTTTTTAGATTACAGTTTTCTCCAGATACAGTCGCAGGAGTGGGATTGCTGGGTCATACAGAAGCTCTATCTTACCTTTTTTAAAGGAACTTCCGTACTGTTCACATGGTGGTGTACTGATTTACGTTCCCACCAATAGTGTAGGAGAGTTCCCTTTTCTCTATACCCTCTCCAGCACTGATTGTAGATTTTTTTGATGATGACCCTTCCGACCTTTAGGAGATGTGTCAAGGGGTGTGTTTAGAGGTGGCTGTGAGGTCAGGATAAGTTCAGGCAGTCTGTCTGCTGATGGGTGGGGCCATGCTGGTTGTTTGGCCTGAGGCCTCGTCAGCACTGGAGCCTACAGGCTGTTAGGTGAGGCCAGATCTTGGTGCTAAAAGTGCAACCTCCAAGAGAGTTTACAGTGATCAATATTCCCTGGGGCCTCCGCCACCAGTGTCCTTGCCCCAGTGGTGAGCCACAGTGGACCCCCTCCTCTCCAGAAGACCCTCCAAGACCCACAGGTAGGCCTAGTCCAGGCTCCTACGAGTTGCTGCTTTGCCCTGGGTCCCAGTGCATGTGAAGTCTTGTGTGCACTCCAAGAGTGGAGTCTCTGTTTGCCCCAGTCCTATGGAGCTCCTGCCCTCAAGCCCCACCGGCCTTCAAAGCCAAATGCTCCGAGGACTCCTCCCGATGCCAGGTTGGGGAGCCTGACCTGGGGCTCTGGACTCTTGCTCCGTCTTCTTGTGGCTTTGTCTCTGGATGTAAAATGTCTTTTTTGGTAGGTTCCAGTCTTTTATGCTGATGGTTGTTCAGCATTTTAGTTGTGATTTTGGTGTTTTCATGACAGGACATGAGCTGAAGTCCTTTTACTCTGCTGTCTTGTCTGGAATCGAGGGACTACTTTTAGTTTGGATGCTTCTGTCTCCTTCCTCAGCATGTGCTGGCTCTTATACCCTTCATGTGGGGTGTGCCAATACTTTGGCCACCTGAAGCAAATAGCCAATCATGGGAAAAATCCAGATACAGGGAAAGACTGAAGGCACAAGGAGAAGGGGATGACACAGAACGAGGTGGTTTGACGGCATCAACAACTCAATGGACATGGATTTGAGCAAATTCCGGGAGATAGTGAAGGACAGGGAAGACTGGCGTGTTGCAGTCCATGGGGTTGCAAAGAATCAGACATGACTTGGTGACTGAACAACAATAACAAAGGTTTGGCAGCCCGCACTCACTCCAAGTACACCGGGGTAGCAATCAGCACCGGCTTGTGGGTCTTCCAGCAGCAGCCTGAGACCCCGGAACAGCGGGCACAGTGATTGGCCCCTGCCTGCTGCCCACACATGCTCCCTGGATGGCAGGGGCAGTGACTGGCGGCTGCTTGCGGCTCTCTCAGTGGTCCATGCCCACCTCTGAAGCTCACAAAGGTGGTGCTGGCTCATGCCTGCCCCCGGAGTTTGTAGGTGGCATCCTGCTGCCCGGGAGCGTGCGTAGGGAAAGGAGCTCCACTGGCGGTGCCTGCCCCTCTCCTTGCGTGGCCCTCCACAATGGGTCCTCGCCTCTGAGGGCCCAGGCCTCTTCCGTGTGCAGCCTCAGTTGCAATATTCCAGCCTCTACAGGTTGTCTGCGTGTAGCCAACCCCACTCCTCTCACTGGGTATGACCTCTGAAGCCCAGGCTTTAGCACCCAGCCCCTGCCTGGGCCAGCACGTAAGCGTCTACTGCCAGGGAGTGTGGGTCACACTCTGTTTTGCCTTCCAGAAGCTGGTTGCTGCGCTCTCCTCTGAGGCTCTGAAGCTTTGCACCTGTCCGTGAGGGGACCTTTCCTCCTTCACAGCTCCCTCCCTGGGGCACAGGTCCTGTCCCCACTCCTTTCTCTTTCTTTTTTTTTTTCATCCTAACCGATTATGTGGAGGTTTTCTTGCCCTTTCAGAAGTCTGAGGTCTTCTGCCAGTATTTAGTAGATGTTCTATGCAAACTGTTTGACATATAGGTGTGTTCTGGACATATCTGTGGGAGGAGGTGAGCTCCATGTCCTACTCCTCTGCCATCTTGATTCCTCCTTCCCATAAAGCTTACTTTAAAGCACTATTTTTCCTTCCTAATTCCCTATTTTTGCCCCTTGAATGTGTTCCCAACTGGTTTTTATTGAGATGCCACCAATGTAGAGTACACCTCATTATGTCATGGAGGCCCCCTCCCCTGGTGGTGACACAGGCAGAGCCTAGATTTGAAGGCTTGAAAACAGGTGATCAGCCATAAAGAAGAGACAAACAATGGAACAAAGAAGCTTGAAAACTAAAAACAGGCACAGGTTAAAAGCTGAGCACGTTCGTGAGACAGTCCTCTGGGGTGACAGGCTCCCTCTGTGGCTTCCCCCAGATGCTACCCAGCTTCACCCGGGAAGCAAAGTAAGAGACTGTGGATGGGCTGGGCACTCTCTGTCATTGGAAGAAAACAGTTTTGGTTCGTTCATTCTTGGTAAAGCATTTCCTCTGAGTAATCTTTCTGTTTTATAAGTGCTAAAGTTAAAGAAGAAAATCAAACATCTACAAAAGTGTTGCCACTGTGTGAAGACAGCAAAAGTCAACCTTTCAAATTAATAATAAAACCGATTTACCAGCAGCGACAGTTAATTATGCACCATTGCTATGGTTATTCTGTGAGACAATAAAAGGTAATGGGGCCGTTTCTGAAGTTAGTGGGAAGGAACCCAGCACAATCACCGAGGTGGACTGCTGATTTTCTTGAAAAATTTCTCCCCAAGTCAGCATGTGTCTGGGTGAGCAGAAGTCATTAAAACATGAAGGCCCCCAGTGAGGGCTGCAACCTGCCCTTCCTTAAAACAACAACAACAAAAAAACCCCTCTAATTATAAAGTATCTTCCATCAAGAAGTTTTCTAATTAGATTTGTTTCACCAAGTGGAAAAAAAAGTAGCATTCATAGACAGGCTAGCGACGGGCCAGAGGGTTATACACAAACCTGAAGCAAAAGCTGGTTTGCTGCAACAGAAGCAGGTTATGTCTTTGATTCAGTAAAATCAGAGGTGGCAAAACTGGATTTAGTGACTGTGAGCAAACTAGATTTTGTCCCTGAAGAGGTTTTCTACTAGGCTCATAACAGGTTAGATTCAGAATATCTATGTGATTTATATATTTTTAATTAAAATTTTTTTTCCTCTGAAAATTAAAAAGTTCAATTTGGTGTGACTGCTCTGAGAAATGGATCTTAGGAAACTCAGAAGCTGTGCTCAAGTAAAGCTACATGGGAAAGTACACTGACATTAGAGCCAAATCTACTGTGGAACAAAGAGATTGTGATCAGAGCAACTTTCTTTTAATGTGATTAAGAAATGGTATTTGAAATCTACAAGATCCAGCTGGTAGGATGCTTAATCATACATGAATTAGAAAATCAAAGACCTGAGGGACTTCCAGAGGGCTCCCTACTCCATTTCCCAACCTCTAAATCTCCAGGTGATTTGGAAAAGAAAAAAGAAAAAGGAAAGGGAAGGGGATAGAGAGTCCAAGGTAAATAGAAGCAACAGGATGAGAGGCAGTCAGCTCAAGCAACCTGGAAAGTTGTTCTTAAGAGATTTCAAGACCTAGAACACTGACAAATTATCCAGGGTTTCAGGTCTCTTTCAGGGTTTTATAGATGTCTTTACTCGAGGAAGACTCTGTCTTCCCTTTCCCTGCTGTTTGTCATCTGAGAGTTAACCTACTTTCAGGCACGTGGTTCCCTGCGTTGCCTTGCTGGGTGGGTAGCACTGTCACTCGTCTCTTGATGGTTTTACTGTGAAGGACTTTCCCCTCAGGATGCAGCTGAGAAGAAACTCAGTTTACACCTGATATGGTTTACTTGGGATCCCACCTGACAGGAGAGGGGCTGAATATGCAGGTGAACATTTAAGGAAACGCATGGTTTTTCCAAGCTAATCTAGGATAACTCTATCATTGCCTAAAAGTATATTATTAGCATGAAATGAAAACAAAGGATGTCATTTATTCAGAAAAAAAAATTCATTTTAGTCAGAAAAAGCCCCTCATTTAAATTTCCTACTTTAATGTTTATCATTCACAAATGCACTAGATGTAATTCTAAATGAGTAAAACTGGCTTCATTTCAGGGTCCAGAAAATATTTTAAGATACAATAATGAAAACTAAGTTATTGTGAATTATATGTTTTAACAACTTCAATTTTGATTATTTGTTCATGTTTGTCTTTTAATGGTATGTACAGGGCTTGAAACTAATAATGTTTTCTTAAAAAAAAATAAAACTTTAGTATTCCCACAACTAGTATTTGGGCTTTGTTTATTCCTTCTTTTATAAAAGTGAGAGTTCCATTTAATTATGAATTGACACAACCATTAATGAACTTCAGAGAGAGAAAAGTTGATCAAAACAGTTGACCTTGAAAACATGGGTTTGAACTGCATGGGTCCACTTATACACAAATATTTTTCAATAGTAAACCCGATGGTACTATACGATCCACAGCTGGTTGAATTCATGGATGTGGAACCATGAACAGAAAGGCTCTGGCTATACCAGCCATATGTGAGTGTGTGGAGAGTCTGCACCCCAACTCGCCACACTGTACAAGGCTGCACTGTATATGATAGTTCAGTTCAGTGGCTACAGCAAACTAGATGTTCGCTATACTGAGTCTCCATTAAGTCTCCATTAAGGCTTTCCTACTGAAAGCCTTCTTTTAACGTGGCTTCCACTAACGAGACTGTAAATGTCTTGATGGTATCTTTGTATGTTGCCAGTTCTCTTGCAAAGAATACGTACTCAATAACTTTTTGTAAGCCAACAGATGTTAACATAAAGAAGCATCATTCGACCTCATTATAAAGAAAAATGACGAACTTGCACTGGTTTCCCCGTTTCTGACCAAGTGTATTTGTTTTGGATTAAACAGATTTCAATGAGGGAAAAGATGCATTGGCTTCCTAAAAGATCAGTCCAAAGGCCTGAGTGTGTTTCCGCTGGGCTCAGGAAACACTGCTGGAGGAGGGACTCACAGGACAGACCCCTCAGAGATCATCCAGTACTTACGAATCGAGCTTTCACTCTCTTAGGTAACTCTTCGTCCAAAGTGTAGATGTCCTCTCTCTTCATTGCTATCTGGGATCCATCTTCAAATTCAACCTAATGAAAAATAAAGCAGTCAGCATGGTACATATTTTAAAAAGCAAGAAGCATTCACCATTTTCTTCAGGGTTCCAATTAGCTACACACAAAAAAAAAAAAGAGAGAAAAAGGATTCAAACAGAACAAACAAGAGAACTAGCCAACAGCCAAGGAAGGGAGAAAAGCTCTTTTCCTTATCAGACCAAGAACAAAGCATGTCTCAAACAGGCCAAAATTCTTGAAAATGAGTGTCTTGGAATATGTGATATGAAAACTTTATGCCCCCAAAGCAAAGAAAGAAAAATAACTGCTGCTCAGATGATTTCTCAGAACATGAGACTGCCCAGTTTAGCATTAAGACTGGTGGAACCTGTCAGTGCTCTTTGTTTCTTTAAGATGCTCTGATGACTTAAGAGGGAGGACTGTTTCTCTTTGAGAAAAAAGTGATGCCATATTTTACTCTTATAATCCTCCCAGATAAAATAATTTCTCAAGTTCTTATAGAGCTTTAACTTTCAAAACTCACTTTTGTTAAATTCAACCAAAAGGCCAGAAAAATCTCAGGTTCCCCTCAATCTCATGTGTCAACCATGTCAATGTGTGAAAATACATAACCCTCTAAATGAAAATGTTTAAAACTTGTTTTTCCAAGCTATTCAAATGGAAGTATTTTCATTATCTTTTTTTTTCAATATTTTATGCTGTTTTGTTAGAGAAAAATTAAGTGACATTGAATAACAGAAACGTAATCTGGAGAACTTCATCAAACACCCTATTCAAAGTGATCCTGATCTAGGCTTAATCCTACATGAACTCTCCCAGAAGAAAACAACGAAAGGGATGCAATTGAGGTAGAATATCTAATTCTAATATGTTCTTAACTCTGAACCATTTATGGTATTTTTCAAGTTTCTAAATCGTCTTTCTGAATTGTTTTAAGGAATAAATAATATGCTTGCAATTCTAATTAAAAAGGTGAGTTAAATCATGTTGCTGTGCTATGTTAATAAAAACAATCTGCTGAAGTTTAAAAAACTACTGAAGATAAAATATATAATTAGACTTTGTATTATCAATGTCTGCTCCCGTTTGACGGAGCTCAAACAGTGGAGCGGAAGTAGGTCTTGGTCACGGGCACTCTCTCTGCTACTTCCCAGACGGCTGAGACGGGAAGGCTTTTCTTCCTGGCCTTGTTTCAACAGAATGGTTTATTTAACATTTAATTAGGCCAAGGTGTCATCCCATTTATACAGTTTGATCACATAGCTAGAACTACCTGTGCCTACCTTTCTTCTGTTGCCAATCATTTGAGAATTCTAAAAGAGAAAAAGTCAGTTTTAAAACAGAAGAATTATGGTATGGTGACCAACCATCCCAGTTTGTCCGGGACTGAGGGGTCCCGCTGGATGCAAGATTTTCAGTGCTAAAATTCAGGACAGTCCCTCAAAGGCTGTGATGGTTGTACACCAGAGTTTGGACAAGGCAGAGAGTAAATTCTGGCTCTTCCCTTTACCAGCTCCGTGCACTTGGACAAATTATGAAATTCCCTGAGCCTTGTCCCCCCTCATTTGTAAAGTAGGATTCAAAAACCCTATCTTGGAGAGTTACTGTGAGGACCCCAAAATGCATATACCCAGGATATTTAGCACTGTGCAGTAGATATTTTGGTTCTATTTTTATAAATGTCTTTGTTTAGTCAATGGTGAGGCTGAATAATTAGACACAAAACACAAAATGACCTCAGAAGGCCACTTGGTTTAATGAGGAATTTTAAACTACTTGTACTTGAGAGACAATTTGAATATTAGTCTTAACTTTTTCATTGAGTCTATAAATATGCCCACTGTTCTATGTTGATAGGCCATCATAAATTCAACTGAAGTTAACACACTGATTACTAATTAGCCAGAATTTCAACATGTCCTCATTATGATACCTTTCATGTAGCTAATAGCTTTGCTACATGTAAGAGGCTTCACTTTTGCATGTATTGTTTAATTAAATGTAATTATTTTCTTTTGAATGATGTAGTAAAGCTCTTTTCTAGGAGACTCCAGTATTACCAGCCTGTCTTATAATTTTTGCCTGATTTTGGACATTCTGATACAAAAACGCTCCAACACCTAACCTGCTGTAAATGACCTCAATCTGCAACTTAACACCCACCCCCCACACACACACAGCATATGTATATTCTCCCCTCCTCACTCCCCTTGGCTTTTTCTACACCTTAAAAAATGTCCTTCCCTAAGTTTTCCAAATGTCTTTGAACACTGCTAATTACACTGTGCTCCAGTTTTTGGTTCAGTCTTTTAATGTTCTTTTTCCATTTAAGCCCAAGCCCCTTATCAGTCTTTGAACAATTTCTCTGAGGAAACTGGAAGTCTTATCGTTCTCAAGCTGTTTTTAACTTAACAGGCCTGAACCTTCTTGCTTTTTCTCCTTTTACTTCAATCTTCCTGTTTTTACACTACTGCTTGAGAATGTTGATTTCTGCCATCACATTACTAGAAGTACTATAATGTATTGGTTTAAATAAATCTGTTCCTTTTTAAAGTCTTTCTGAAGGAATAGAAATGCACGTGTGCCATCCATGTTGTTTTTCTTATTAGAGCTTAACTCATCCTCACTTCTAATAGGGATATAGTTCATTAGTTTATTTTTTAATTGTATAAGTGTTAGTCACTCAGTCGTGTCTGACTCTGTGACTCCACAGACTGTAGCCTGCCAGGCTCTTCTGCCCATGGAATTCTCTAGGCAAGAAGAGTGGAATGGGTTGCCATTTCCTTCTCCAGGGGATATCCCCAACCCATGGATCAAACCCCAGTCTCCCGCATTGCAGGAATCTTCTTTACTGTCTGAGCTATCAGGGAAGACCTTTTAATTGTATACATGTTTTTTAATAATATATACAGTTGTTCAGTGAGCAGACTTCCCAAGTGACAACTGTACTTTTCATCACAAAAGCATCCTATAAAGAAACCTGCCTGCCAATACAGGAGACCTAAGAGATGCAGGTTTGATCCCTGGGTCAGGAAGATCTCCTGGAGGAGAGCATGGCAACGCACTCCAGTATTCTTGCTTGGAGAATCCGCATGGACAGAGGAGCCTGGGCAGGCTACAGTCCATTGGGTTGCAGAGAGTCAGACACGACTGTAGCGACTTAGCACACATGTATGCCTGGGTGCACAAATGGCTCCATCTGTGCTGAGGCACCACTGGTTTAGGTTTGCGGCAACAGGGATGACGTCTGTCAGGGAAAAGCCACCCATTCAGGGGCTGCTGGGTGATGAACAGCCATCACTGACTTGGCTTAGTTAGATAATCCAGCCACTTATTCTTTTCCTATATAACAGAAACACAAGAAAGCAGCCTACCATCCAGTCGGTCATCTTTTTGACCTAACTATATTCCTGACTATTAATCCATTCATCAAATGTTATTAGTTTCCCAGTATTGAACTTTATTATTCCCAGAATAAAACTCTATTATCTGGGTCATCAGTCTTTGAAACTTTGCCTTTTTTATAAAACAGTAGGTGTTCTAAATTCATGTAGCTTCTTGACCCATAGCACACTGGTTATACCATCTGCCCTCTGGCTTCTCTTGTCCATCTCAGCAAGCGCACACCCAGGGCAGCACTCACCTGGTACATGTGGGCGACATTTGATCCCAGATACTTGGCCCCATAGAGTTTGCCATCAGGCCACTTGACTTGGACGACTTCTCCCTCGGCAGGAGGGCCCAGTTTCACACAGTCTCGGCTCTGCAGAGTAAACGGAGTTGGGCTTTTCAAGGCAAATGTCTAAGTGACTGCATTTAGAACTTAGCAAATGATGAACTCCTGACAATTAAAAGGAGTTACTGCCTCTGTGTTTTATGGATTATGATCTTGCATGGGTGTTCAGGGGAAGAGTTATGAGCCAAAGGAGTACTTAAAGATTCAGCCTAGATCATAAAGTTGCAAAGGAACCGCCATAATCCAAGAAGGAAGAAACATTGGCATTTACGTTTGCTATTTGACAGAGAATTGTTCAGAGGGTAAGTAAAATGTGCGTAGAAACTGCTTTGGCTGAAAAATAGACTGGTTAATGATTTATAACACCTGACATTTATGCAGCGTCTTGCAGTCAACAAAATGCTTTAACACGCATCTCATCTGATCCCCACAATCATTCCATGAAGTAGGCAGAGACTATGAAATTGCCCCCATTTTACTGACAAGGAAACTGAGCCTCCGAGCAGGCTCTGGAGAAGTGAAGCTGTGTAAGAGACAAAGAACCGAGGACACTGAGGCCAGAAGAGAAGCGGACCATCATTGGAGTTGGTAGGTCTTGAAGCAGCAGCAAGGGAAAAGTGCCAGCAATATCCCACAGGGTGTCCGGTGAGGCTGGGAGGGTGGTGTCCTGTCTAGCAGCCCTTTTCTGAAGAACCCTGGACCTTCCTCAACAGGCCTTCTTCTGCCTGCATCTCCCATTCACTGACTAGCCCCTCCTTTCATGGGTGATCATGGGGACACCTATGACCAGTTGTCTTTCTTTACTTCTTCCACTCTACTCCACCTCCTTCGGCAGCAACTCTTGAGTAAATTCACCAGTAGTTCATCCTGGAAAATCCTTTTTTGTGGGGTATGGGGTTAGTTTACAGATATAGTTTGCAAACTTAAATTTGTATGTATTGAGTATGACAATAAAATTTTAATACAAAGGAATCAAATACTTGACTACTTTGATAAACTTCCTGCACATTTAACAATTCAGGTTTTGCTAATCCTGGTATTTTACTGATGAGGCCAATCTCACTGACTGAAATGCACACTTGACCAGTCAAGTTATAAATGCAGACTGGGCATGATCCTATGGTTTAAATGAGAGGCACACACAGGAAATATTTAGTGGTTTATGATTAGAAACCCACCATATATTACTTTTCATTATTAACAGAAAGTTTGCTTCATAAAGGAGTGGTCCTTTTACTGGGCTTCCTTGGTGGTTCAGATGGCAAAGAATCTGCTTGCGAGGTGGGAGACCTGGGTTCGATCCCTGAGTTATTGCTGGATTCAAGACTATACATGGCAAGTATGTATACTTTCTCACTGCAGACAATGCTTCCACTTAAAGCTATAGGCAAACAAACAAAGAAGAGGCTCTGCAGAGTTGATAGTCTGTATCAAACTTAGTCAAATGAAAATAATTTTCTTATTGGCCTTCATAATATTTGACCTCAGGCAATGCAGAACTGAAAAGGTAAGATGAACTGTATTCTATACAAGCCCCCAGGGTTATCATATCACTTTTCATTTCCCTTCCCTTCCCAAGATGCACCTGGTACTAAGAACATAGGAAGGTGTAGCTAGCTTCTAAATAGACACTGTCTGGTCTCTTGGGTTAGGAAGCTACATCAGCTCTGGGATAACTCTGAGCTAAAACCCAGATGCTTTGGTGATGGGGGCAGGGGGAAAACAAGAGTATGTTTCTTCCTTCATCTAAAGATTTTTTCCATGTGGAGGAAGCACTATTGGGGGTAATAACTCCTGGCTTTTTTTAATTCACTTTTTAAAATTTAATTCTTATTGGAGTATAGTTGATTTACAGTGTATTAGTTTCAGGTACACAGCAAAATGAATCAGTTATAATACACACACACACACATATATCTACTCTTTTTAGATTCTTTTCCCATATAGGCCATAACAGAGTATTGAGTTCCCTGTACCATACAGTACATCCTTATTAGTCATTTATTTTATATACTGTAGTCTATATATGTCAATCTCAATCTCCCAATTTATCCCTCCCCTGCCAAAGCGATCTACTGATTCAATGCAATCCCTATCAAATTACCAATGGCATTTTTCACAGAATTAGGACAGTTTTACAATTTGTGTGGAAACACAGAAGACCCCGAATAGCCAAAGACTCTTGAGGAAGAAAAGCAGAGCTGGAGGGATCTGGAGGCTGGTAACTTCTGGTTCACCCCTCTCTTTCTTCCTGCGGAGCCACTCTGCTGGCAGAAAACTCGCTTCTTTCTCTGCTCCTTCCACAGAGGCAATGGGCGGTGTCCTGCACCGCAGGCCACCAGAAGGCCTAATTCTCAGGCCCAGTATATCAGAAGAATTCTCCGCCCACAGATGTAAGCCACACTCTCCAGCACCTGCTTTATTACAAATAAAGGAGGTATTTTAAATTTTCAAACCCTGACTTCCTTCTCTCTTTAACTGATTGCCCTCAGGCCCTTTCAATTGGCCCTTCTTCAACCCCAACAGAGGCAAGTCAAGGCCTCGATGGATATGAAGCCACAGTCCCACCTACTCATCCACCACAAGCCACCTCCAAGTGGGGAAGTTATGCCCTTAATTTTACAGATTTGACCTTCAACACAGGTTTACTAGCCTTTAGAATAACTACCCCAGACCAATCCTGAGCTGCAGTTCCTGGCACCGTATCACCAAGGTGTTGCCAATGGCCACAGAGATATGCCTGAGCAATGTATAAAGGATACTCAAGGCATTTATCATGAACACACAACCTTGTTAGTAAACTAAATGTATGCAACCTTAGAGTGAAGAACAATTCTTTTTGGAAAAGGTGTCCGAAACTAAATGCATGAGTACTGTCGGCAGACACTTGACTCACAGCAGATCTTAATTTGGCACAGAGCACCTGACCTCAAAGAGCACCTCCCAGCTCAGCGCCCACCTAACTGCTCTGTATCAGTCACAGTCACTTCACTCTCCCTCATGTCAGAATCTAGGGAAGACAATCTTGCTTGCTTTCTCAATTTCTTGCTTTCAGAACTCTTTTTCCTTTATTCATAGTAGAAGAATAAAGAAGAGTAACCAAGCAAATTGAACATAAGGTTGCACGTAAGAACACAAGAACATAAGGCTGTTTTGAGAGTTTCCCTTCCCCCGTCACCACCAGGCGGCACTATTCTCAGTCATGATGTGGCACTTCCCACCATTGGCTAGGTCCTTTAAGTGGAAGAGGATATACTTAGATCTGCATACAACTTCATTTAGTGAGTAGCATTATTTACACCCCAGCTACCTTCCAAATGGGCTTAAAGCAGCTCACAGTAAAACAAAAGCATTTATTTCTGTAACACCTAGTCTCCTCCATAGAGAAATGGGTCTCAAATCTTGAGTCTGCCAGAAACTTCCTATGACTACATGGTGTATATAAAGCATTTAAACAAGAATGGGATTAGGAGTATGTAGATTGATGAAAAGAAGTTAAAAAGTTTGATATTTATGCTTCCCTGACTCTTCCAGTGCAGAAACTGCTGGATGTTCCTTCAAACGGTCACAGTCGCTAATCTGATACCTATTTACGGACCACCTGTGTGAGACAGTGGAGGAGTCAATGGTGTCTAGCTCTTCAAGGTAGAGACAGACAGAGGGTGTCATGCCCATGCCTGGAGGCCTGCCACACTGCAAGGGCTGGAATCCATGTGGAGTGCGTGAGCTTTGGCCACCAGAACAGAATTTGTATTTGATTTATAGATTGGGTTTTTGAGTAAGACTTCATGCAGGAAAAAAAAAAAAAGTTTCTGTTAAAAATAAAAGGTCCCTGCTGTGCGTGAGGAATCAAACAAAGCAGAGCTTCTCCAAGTGTGGTCTGAACCACTAGGGACACACATTACAATTGGAGGTTCCAGCTGCCACTGCCCACCACTCTACGTGACTTGGATGGTTTTTTAAGCATTATAGAATGGACCTCCTGAAGCAGTTCTTGGTGTGCTGCTGGAACAAGTGAACCTCTGCTGGAAAAGTATATGCATTAAAAACCTTGACTAATACATTTCTCCCACCTTCTGTCTAGACTCTCAGAAGTTTGCCTTCACCTGCCATAAACACCTGTTTACCCTTTGCTGTACTGCCTCCAGGGATGTGTGAACTCCCCTGAAATCTGCCAGTGCTCTGTCCACAGGGACACTGGTGTCTGGAGCTGTCAGTCAGCCTGTAGCTAGAGTACTACACAAGTGAAGTGAAAAGGAACGAAGTAGTCATCCCACTCAAGAGTAGACTTTTGCCTATAATTAGAGGACTGAGATGAGCCACAGTTCCCGTGACAGGACGGTGTCATATCACATTCTTGCCAAAGTCATGCCAAACCCCCGTACTTTCTCTACTAACAAAAGGGAAAAGCCCAACAGCCAGTCTGATTATCGGAATTCCAAAGTCGCTGTTTTTGGAACTCCTACTAGGCCCTTTAAAAGGGACGTCTAGAGGCAGCAGCTGTCCTTGCATGCTGCCTACCTTACTCTCTCTCCCACTCCCCACCTCTACTAAGTATAATCCACAGGGCAGGCAGCTCCATCTACCAGCCTGATTACACCAGATGAAGGCACGGTACATGAAATCCCAGTAATTCATCAGCATACAGTTTGGAACCTCAGACAATCCCCCATGCAGAAAATGCCTAAATGACTGAGAGTAAACTGATGCTGGCAGCTGCACTGAGGGGTAATCACCAGCTCACTGCTGGCCTTGGGCAGGGATTAACAAGATGATAGGCACGTGCTCATCAACCTGGCTATCTGTCATCGGTTTGGCTCCTCAGCCTCTGAAACCCCTTCTCCCTTTCGAAGTCTCAATGGAAGACAGAGCTCACGTGCCATTACAAATGCTGAAAGATGCCAGATACGCCCTGGCCCAGCACGTACCTGGCAGCAGGTACAGGCTGGGCCAGGCCAATTTTGGCTCCACCTGCCCAGGATGTAAAACCTGTGACCAGAGATGCAGAGGAACAGTGGAAACGGATG